TTTATTATTATTATTATTTAGTTATTATTTATTATTATTATTATCGTTATTATTATTATTACTTATTATCGGCTATAAGCACAACACAACATAAAACATTACATTACATAGCAATTTCCGATAATGCATGTGAGAAATGGTCAATGAATAAAATAAAATAAATAAATAAAGTGGTAAAAATCGATATGCCAAAATGCTTACCGTGACCTCTCCCAGAACCACTGGTTTGTGATTTTCGGTGACATAAAAAGTGAAGGTGTCGTGAACGCATTTCGGAGCGTTATCGTTCACGTCTATGACGTCAACGTTGATTTGACATCGCCCGGATGGTGACGTCACCTGGAATTATTTATTTAAGAACGGAGTTTGTCCAGGAATAGGTTACAGAGCAGCTTACATAGAGCTCGAAAGCTTTTCGCTTTTCGTAATCAATCAAAGCAAGTTCGACTGGGACGATTCTGATATCAACGTTTGTACTGGCTTCTGTATCGACACCAAACGCTGAATAGCCGCCCTCGATGTGAAGAGTAGATGGATCCTGAAATGAACATATTAATAAATGATTTGTAGTAGCATGCAGTTGATTAGTTATGATCGTTTCCAGGTCTATCGACGGGCTGCGGAGGTGTTTGCAGGGCTACACTTTTGATGCGGTAGTGAAGAGCACCTCAGAAAAAACGCTGACAGACCCGACCTCACAAAATTGATGTGCCCTTGATGCGGATTGTATCTGTGCGGTTTCGTTCCATTATATAGGCGCCATCAGCAAGCAATATAGTTGTGAATCACTACCGTATAAGCTTAGTGCCCAGAGGCGCGATAGGTTTTCTGTGTATGTAGTTGGTCCAGGAGACTGACTTGGTAGTGATCATTGGTCCAACATAAGCGGTAACTTAACATTGTTCCAGAAGCTACGAAATTCGGATGTCAGCAATGAGATCAGCGCAGTAAGCAGGGGCCGTAAGGTATGCTTCCCCGAATGGTTGCGGGGACGAAAGTCCCTTTAAATTTTTTGTTTTGAACGATACTGTTTCTTTATTTTCAATGCATGCTTACTTTAAGCTACACACATATATTAGATGTAGGCCCTTTATCAGGACAATCCCAGTTGGGACTACAGAGAAAATTTAAAGGAACTTTCGTCCCCTAACCCTTCGGAAAGCATACTCACGGCCCTAAAGCCGATTTACGTCACTTCTTCCCACACGACTTCGAGCGCTGGGGCGATTCTCGAGTCTCTCTGCAGAAGCATGGTGAGAGAGTGGGTCGACTACACCCTTCAGCCCAAGCTTAACTACGTAAGCCGAATACAGCTTTTATCCTTTAAATCCAAGAAGCAGAGAAGCGATTAATTTGGTTATAGCTAATTTTCGTGAATTTGTAATATTTGCAGATTTTTATGTTTTCTGTTTGTCTAATTTTACGTCTCATTTCTTTATGTTGTTTTGAAATAATTCCCCCTTTTGGGCCTGCGATGCGGAGAGTTGGATCTCGGCAAGTTGGCGGACCTACTAAGTCGGTATCCGGAGTATCCGGAGTTCTACGTCGTCGCTTCCGCAGGAGCTTGCAGTGTGGCGGCCACTGCCCTTCTCGCCGACTTTCCACTCCCACGCAGCTTCAACCATTGCTACCCCATTTAATTTCGAGTTTTTTTTACTTGTTTCTGTTTCTTTCTTGATGTTGTGTTCTTACTAATGATATCCGATAATAAATCACAAATCATGAATCTTTTTAAATCCTCTATTTTTGGCTCTCAATCAGTAGAACTGTGCGACTCAGTTAAAGGAGGATCACGATATGAAAGAAGGTCGGAGAAGATGAAATTTATCTAGTGGAGACAGGCGGACCCCCTAAGGGTGCGGACCAACACACAATTCGCATCGAAGGATATGCCCCCGGCGATCTAACATGGCCTTCCCTTTGGCGCAGTTGGCGCGGAACGCCCACCGACTATCTAATCACTCGCAGGTCTATACACGGCGAATGATTAAGTGATTACGAGGTAAGCAAACCAGCCCTTTTGGCGTTTCTGCTGGGGCCGTATGCTGAATGTTGGGGAGGGGATGGGGTCCCCGAGTCGACGGACTACTTGAACTCGGTCGGTACGGTAGGAGAGTGATGACGAAGTGGTGCAGCTAGGTCCAGCAGCTCCGCCAAAGGGCTGGTTTGCTTACCCCAGGACTAAGCCTTGGAGAGAGGGGACGCAGGTCCGTCCTCTCTTTAAGGCTTAGTTCTGAGGTAAGCACCAAATTGAGGCGTTTTCAAGGTTTCTGCTTACTTCAGTGATTAGATAGCAGAGAGAGCGTAGTGTTGAAGAGGGCACAACGATGAGAGTCGCATCAATGCGCAAATCAACGGGCAAGGAAGGGGTCCCATTTCTCGGGTTTCGGGCCGTTTCAAATGGTTTCTTCTTCATCCCTGCTCCACTGACCACCTCTACCCTTATTTCCAATGAGCTACCTTTTCATCGTAAAATCTGCCTTTAATTCAACTAAAAATGTAGCCTGCTGGTCATAAGAGGAAGGTCTGCCACTGAAGCACCAGTAATATCAGCTTTCGCCCAGCCGCGTCATAACGAAGTGAGCAATTGCGAAACGTACGTCGTTTAACCCAGCAAACAATGGTACATGTGTAGGTGGGACCCTTGTTGATTGGCCTTGCTCCTCGACATTTTTCATTCCTTTCAAAGATTAAAGAATAGACAGGTCACGTAAAGAATTTACACAGAGGGCGTGAGCTAATGCATTGCGCCGTTTGCTGAAATTGTCCAAATGAGAACAAAGAGGTCAAAGCGTTCGCAAAGCACTTAA